TACTGCATCTTCTCTGCGGCCCTCCCGTCGCTTCCTCCTGCCGGCGATCGTCTGTCGTTTCAAGACGGGAGCTCCACCATCAAAAACAAACACCGGTTTGATGCCGAAGTACAGCAGCTTGCATATTCGACGGAAGAAACCAACAATATGGGAATTACGTAGAGCATTACCCTCCTTGTCTCGTACAGCTTTCAGGAATTGATATATCCAAATGGACGCGTCAACTGCGAGACGCTTTTTGTTGAGTGTCTCGAGCTTGATAGGCCGAGCACATGGCTGGACGACTGTCCACAGGCCTGTAACACCCATGCTGACAAGACAACTGAAGTGGCACTATTGCCATGAGATATACGGCACAAAAGGTAACATGGCTGATGTAAAAGTCGCAGAGAACGTTTACACTGTATGCAGCCAGTGATTGGAGCAGACTAGCAAGCCAAAAACCTGACAACGTCGCAATGGCTGAAAATCTTGCTGTTTGTCTGACACATTCCTCCGCGTCGCCACCTGATGAAACACGAGGATCGCGATATCACGTGAATCATTAACCCGCTTCAGGAATAGACTGCCGATAAGGAAGCCTTACATAATCGCCTCACTCACGATAAGAAATTCTGGAATTTCGAGATGAGTCTCCGCGCGGGGGAAAGTCGGCGAATGAAGCATTGATCAATGCGCGATATTTGAATTAAATTTTGTGGCAGATAAGACTGATGTCTTTCTGTGATATCAATGCATTCCTCGCTCGAGGTTAGTGGAATATCAGGTTTCCCATTGACAGCGTAGTGCTGACGCAGTAACACAGCACATTGATGCCTCCCTCCCCGTAACTGCGCTGAAAGCGCTGGATTTGGGAGACACGAGGCTCATCCTTCAAGGTCGGGGGCCTCATTGTCAAGTGATCAAAGAGCAGAGTGGGGAGCTGCTGGCAAAGCTCAGAACCTTCAGGAGAAACAATATCCATGGATTCATTCTCCTCAATCAAGACCAGCAAGAAGCCGAGAAACCATACATTCGACTCGTGGCGTGGGGCGGAAGCTCTCTAAGGGTCATTGACTTGTCTCTGGCTAAAAATGATGCTTCTGGAGATATGAAAGCTTCTCTTCAAGCTGCAACTGCGGAATGTTTGGCCCCAGACTGGATTCTCGCTGGATGTTCACCCAACCAGGGCAGCAAAGCAGAGCGAGCTTATGTGGTAACGGCTCATAACACTATACTCGGTCTACATGTGGTAGAGGAGGAATCTCATTCTGTCAGCAAGATTTACCTACAGCAACTGGTTACGGGTGTCAAGTCGATTCTTTTCTCTGCTGACACTATCGCGCTGTCGTCTTCTCACATTTTAATTGCCGCGGGAACCGTCTTTGGCGAGATCATAGTCTGGTCTTGTTTTGTAGACGAGGATGAGAGTGGTCCCTTGGCGCCCAATGCAAGTGGCTCCATCCATCACTTTTTCACTGGCCACGAAGGTTCCATTTTCGGGGTTCGGATATCACCTCCTGTCAGCTCCTTGCCGGGACGGCAATCGGGAAGACTTTTGGCTAGCTGTAGTGATGATAGAACTGTCAGGGTATGGGATATCACGGACTGTGAACATGCATCCCGTCATGATCCTTCTGCCTACTTGACAGACGGCTTCGAGCTACGGACCACAGGGTTTGGCGCCGTTGCAGTAACTGATCATGAATCCGGTTCAGAATCATGCGTTGCAAAGGCATTCGGTCATTCAGCACGTATTTGGGGTGTTCATTTCGTGCTCACCATGGCGGACAATCAGAGCAAACTGACCATTGTGTCTCGTGGTGAGGATGCTAAGTGTATTCTGTGGGATCTGAGTTGGAGTCTGTCACCAACACACAAGACCGAATTTAAACTGACTCAGCTATCGTCTTCTCATCTCCACAACGGCAAGCATATCTGGTCACTCGACTTGTGCGGCTCCAGGACACAGACCACGATCTACTCTGGAGGCGCAGACGGCGCAGTCAGGAGCTTCAAAATAGACGTAGATGAAAGGGCGTCGATCATATTACCGAATAGGGATAATCGCATTACTGTCTCAAGCGATTCTCAAAACACAGTTCCTGCAAGGGAAAGGTCATTCAAAGCCTTTGCATTTATCTCACCAAAGTTGTTCGTTGCGACTACTTTCCAAGGCGAGATTCAGCTTGGTTCGATACGGGCAGACGGTGGTAAAGGACAGCTCATCTTCAAGGAAACTTTGCACGTTCAGGAAGATCTTCGGTCTTTTTCAGTCATTACTAGTCTACCACACAAGGGAGTGGCGCTGCTTGGCAATGCACATGGTTTGATCCGACTCTATACTCACGGTACCAGGTCGTTGAACCAAATTGTACAAGCGGATGGCAGACCTCTGCAATTATATTTCCTTGGGTATGATACTGACGCATCAGAAGGCTCGGCAACTCTCTCATTCGTCACATCCTACGCAACACTTAGAAAAGCAGATCTCTTTCAGGTCACCATGCAAGCGAATGCCGAGCCTAAAGTTAACAAGACAGAATTGTCTTTACCTCATGGTATGGAAGTATCCTACGCCTCCTGGATCTCTAGCCAGTATCTGGCTTTTGGAATCAAAAGCGGCGCACTCCTTGTTTACCGAGTTGCAGAAACCGGAGGATCTCTGCAGCCGATCATGTGCACTCTGAGGGTCCATGGTCGGGAGGGCGTTAACGAGATCACCCAGTTCTCATCTTTGTTCGAAGAGGCAGAACCTTCACGAGACTACTTTATGACTTGCGGCCGCGATGGCGATTACTGTATCCATGAGTTGGAGGCGCTGGGAGGGATGGCTGTTCGCCTCCGTACAATCCATCGTTCCTCCCCTGCAGTGAGCTTCAACATTGAGGGATTCTACGTCGACAAAAAATCCCAAGACTTTATGCTCTATGGATTCCAGAGCACTGAATTCATCCTTTGGAATGAAACGACTCACACTGAGGTAGCCCGAGTGGACTGCGGCGGAGCACGGCGAATGTGGGCCTTCCACCCGAGTCATGAGACTTCCGGTGCTGGGTTACTCCTCTGGAGTCAATCCGGGTTCAACGCCCTTCGAATACAGGCCGGAATCAACCGTACCTTACGTGCCGGCGGCCACGGCAGAGAAATCAAGTCGATGGAGGTATCTCCTTCAACTCCCGAGCGGGAGACTCTCATCGCCACTGGAGCGGAAGATACCCATTTACGCATTTTTGCGCCTGTTCCTCAGCGCAATGAGACTTCATGGGGCTCATTCAAATGCCTTCGTGTTCTTAGAGACCATACTGCTGGAGTGCAGCAAGTTACCTGGTCAACAGACGGGAAGACGCTTTTCTCTAGCGCAGGGTTCGAGGAGCTATTTGTCTGGAAGGTCCGCCAGGTTCCCTCGTTCGGCTTGGCAACCGTTCTCGCAGCCTCTAGTCCCAAGGATGACCCGGTTTCCGAGCTGCGGGTGACGAGCTTCGACGTGCTGGACGTGAAAGAAGACACTGATAGTGGCTTTCTTCTTTGCCTGACATTGTCAAACTCCACGATCAAGGTAAGCTTTTTCTCGCGTCTCCTTATCCAATTTTTTGCTAATATTATAGATTTTCCATTATTCCTCCTTGGCCGATGGAGGTCGCTTTACCCTCCTAGCACGAGGCGCCTACACAAGCAATTGCCTCACGCAGGTACGGTTCCTGGTAGAGGGTTCTTCGATCGGGCTCATTACTGCATCTACGGACGGACACTTTACGTTATGGCACTTGAACCCTGTTCTAGAGCCTTACTACACGATATCGACGTCAACTTTGCGCTTGAAGCAACCAGTGGCGACGCTATCTATTTCTCCACCAAAAATTGCATGCGAGAATCGGTACCAAATCCACTCGAACAGTATCAAGTCCCTGGAGATGGCCCGTATATCAGCGAAAACGTCGCTGGTTCTCGCTGGAGGGGATGACAATGCGCTCACGCTTACTCTACTATCGGTAGACTTTACCGACGCAGACGCAGGCAACCATGTTTGCACAATCACGATTCCAGACGCACATGCCGCCTCCATCACCACCATCAAGATCCTTGAACAGCGGCAGTCAGACAGCCAGGGGAAAGCGCAAATTATTTTCGCCTCCTCGGGCAATGATCATCGGGTCAAGGTCTGGTGGGCGGAGGTGAATGCCACGCAGAGCGGGGCAGAAGCTATCCAAGTCGGGAATCTAGTCGATCAGTACAGCGCGGTGGCTGATATATCGTCTTTGGACTTGATCCACGACGAGTCAGGGACGAGGTTACTGGTGTGTGGCGTCGGGATGGAGCTGTTGAGCATGCAGCTACACTAGCGCCACCTCCACGCTCCATCAGATTACGACGTAATCGCTGATTCTTATAGAACCAAAGCTTTGGAGCATTTTGAATGGTTTAGAAAAGCATAGCAGGAATTGCTTCATTGCTAGTACATATACCTAGGCGGCAGTCCTGTTCTCACTGTGTGTTAATATCAGTGCACCTCAGCACAGAATCTTCCCTTTTCACAGAAATCTGATACATCAGAGATCCTGTTCTGCAGGAATGTACCCGCAATTTCTGACACTCTTTACCCTTCTTCGTGCTCGCTCATTCTACCGTGACCAAAGCGGAATAGCCCACTCACTCCCCTATGAACCAACATGGTATTTCATCTCTCCCAGCCAAGCCACAAGTTGAAACTTGCCTCAACACAAGTGAAGAAAGCAATGAGGATCGTATAATTTATGGCTTCCATCATATCCTTGTTGCCGGATATTTTACCCGCAATTTCATTTATGCATGGCAATACGGGGTTGATTCCATCTTGTCACACTGAAATAAGTCTTGTCCGCTGAGCCGCTGATGTACAGAATCAGGATAATCGGGCGAATGGATCATACCATGGGGTATGGCTTATGACTATGAGATGGTTCAAGGATGTATATGACTCTTACAGATGAAGACAAGGTGCGCGGTGCACGTCTGGAGAACAACCATCCGCCTCCAATCCCATGGGCAATCCTGCCTTGGGTGAGTACTCCATGATATTCACTCCAGAAATCCCTACTCATACGAACCCAGGAACTGGAACGACGGCAGGAGGCGTGAACTGGGTCGGATATCTGACAAGCGCAGGGAATGCATCTCTTGTCCTGAGCTACAATCTCGCGGTTGGAGGCGCAACTATCGATGGCTCGCTCGTTGGGACCACTGCAAACGATGTTGTTAGGCAAGTGAGCACGTTTGATGCGGCTTATAGCAGCAAGCCGGCTTCTGCACCGTGGACGTCTGAGGATGCTGTTTTTACATTTTGGATTGGGGTCAATGAGTACGCCACACTTCACTCTCGCCCTTGTCTGGAATGACGTTAGGATTACTTGAGAGTAGTATAGCTGTCTATAATCAGCAGCTCGCGACCATGGCTGAGAGTTTCCAGTCTAGCAGTACCGGCGTAAGGTGCTTCTTTTTCAGCTTTGTGATTGTCGCTCTGACCCAGCTTTAGGTCACCGCGATTCTGGTGGTCATTCATAACCAAGGTCCTCGACAATCCTACCGATTACGGGGTTCCCCGATGCCACTTGCATCAATGAGGACGGTACTTCGTGTGTCTGGTGGAATGACTACCATCCTGGGACGAAGTATCATCAACTTCAGGCTCTGGATATGAAGGCTAGTCTGGCGCCACTTTGTGCGTGGTGATTTTAGGAGCAGCACTACGATATTGTATAGCGTAGCTTGGTCAGTCTTTGCCATTTGGTATGCGACAGGCCATGACTAGGAACCAAATACGTCAATTTTGAGCATAGTTGTTGATCGAAAATCAATGACACAGTCAAGGTGTTGCAAATACGATCTTGAATTGCTTCATTTACTTTCCTGTTTTTCGAGCATTCTATTCATGGGTAAATGCCTTCTCCGACTTGAAGGTATATTTCATGTCAAACCGAGGCATAAATAATCAAACCCATCACACGCAGCAATTCAGGGCCACTACAAGAACCTTGCGAGTTTACATATATATTTCACGCTCTGTATACCAGAATGTCAATCTCTTTCCTAGAATGTCACGGGCACGATTGAGACGTTCCTATTTCGTCCTTTACCTGGAACGATGGACGCGACGATCACTGCCGAATCTCTCCCTCTCCTCCTCGCCTCAGAGAAGTCAATCTCCGTCTTGTTTCACAGCCGCCAAGGCAATTCATGAATCGTGGGATTATCATGCACAGGACTCCAGATGGGGTTTCTGGATCCGCTATGCTAGAGTAGCCATGTGCGCTCTCCTCCCTAGTTCCAGGCTTTCGGCATTCATCCGGCCAGCTTTTGCTTCGAGTTCTGCCTTGCTTGCCAGTTGCTCGTCGATCAATACTGGATTCGCAGTCTGCAGCGCTGCAAAATGCTGTTGTGTTTTTATAGGAATTGGATTTGAAGCTTTGCAGTTTGCGAGACGGTCCGAGAACCCCGTGATCCACTGATGAGGGATCGTTGAGTTTCATTCTGAAGCCGTGGAGAATCCGGAGGTCTGCCTCCGTCGTCCTAAATAATGTCGAGCAGAGGAATCTCAGAGCTCAGGCCAGCTGGCTTGACTCGGTTTGCCAGCCGATATATAGCAGGTCTTGTCCCCTCGTTCGAATCTCGGCGACCAAGTCAAGATTGAGTCGTTTCTGATCTTGATCTTTTTCTCTCTAAAGGCATTCTCTTCTGTCCAGCATGAAGTTCGGTAACCTTGTGCTCATTGCTGCTGCGGCAGGCTCCGCGGTGGCTGCTCCTGCAAAAGAGCAGAAGAAGAGAGCTTCAGTTTTCCAATGTTGGTTCCCTGGTTAATTATGTTGGGGTTGAGAGATGCTGACATGCTGCAGGGTTCGGAAGCAATGAGTCTGGAGCTGAGTTTGGCGAAAACACCATTCCTGGCTCATATGTATGTTGTGATCACAAGAAAATATACTCCTGCTAACTGCCTCAAGGGAAAAGACTTCACCTTCCCAGACCCTTCTGCAATCAGCACATTGATCGGAAAGGGCATGAACATCTTCCGGATTCAATTCCTCATGGAGAGACTGGTGCCAAGCTCTATTACAGGCTCCTACAATGAGGAGTACCTGGCCAATCTGACTTCGGTGGGTTCGAGTCAGCAGCAGCGCTGGACTGAACGAGGCTGACTCGCCCAGGTTGTGAACGCCGTCACGGAGGCAGGATCTTATGCCATTCTGGACCCCCATAACTTTGGCAGATAGTGAGTAATCTGTGCCTTTATAGTGTACTTGATCTAACACCGCTCAGTAATGGCCAGATTATCTCCAGCACCGACGACTTCCAGACGTTCTGGCAGAATCTGGCTGGCGAGTTCAAGTCCAACAATCTGGTCATCTTCGATACTAGTAGGGCTAACCCGTTTCGTTCTTTTGGGCTTCACTGATCCAAGATGTTAGACAACGAGTATCACGACATGGACCAGACCCTGGTTCTGAACCTCAACCAGGCCGCCATCGACGGTATCCGCGCCGCGGGAGCCACCTCGCAATACATCTTCGTGGAGGGCAACTCCTACACCGGCGCCTGGACCTGGGCCGACGTCAATGACAACCTGAAGGCTCTGACCGATTCCCAGGATAAGATCGTCTACGAGATGCACCAATATCTCGACTCGGACGGATCCGGCACCTCGGAGACCTGCGTGTCTACCACGATCGGTCACGAACGCGTCACGGCCGCCACGCAGTGGCTGAAGGATAACGGCAAGGTTGGCATTATTGGTGAATTTGCTGGCGGTGTCAATGATCAGTGCCGGACTGCTATTTCAGGGATGCTGGAGTACTTGGCTCAGAACACGGATGTGTGGAAGGGAGCCCTTTGGTGGGCGGCTGGCCCCTGGTGGGGTGACTATATGTTCAACATGGAACCTCCGAGCGGTGCGGCTTATGTGGGCATGTTGGACGTCTTAGAGCCATACCTGGGTTGAGAAGAGTCAAGAGTGTTGTAGGGTCATGTATCTAGCTAGGATGGTTGCTGGGGGCGTGAGTGGAGAAATCAAGCACTGTACATTGTATTGAAAGTGAGATCGAATGGCACATGGATCATTTCAATATCAACAACTCTAAAATCGCTCGTTGCGCATCATAAGATCCTTCTGATAGTTACTGATAGTTCGATGCTGCTAGTATACTATTGTAGAAGCGAGATCAACCCTTGCGGCATGCCCTATCTTAGGCCCACAGTACTACAGTAGTAGTCTTCACAGCCACGACCTTAAATGTATTGATTTTTCCTGTGATGGAATAGCTCTAGGCTAAATCTAGACACTGTCTGAGTTTAATCCTCAGCAGCCTTCGAAGTCGAACTGCCGCTAGTGAGGAAGTGGTCTGCTACATAGATAATTGAGATGCCTAAATTGAGGCGTAATGAGTTGAGTTTCCACTGCCACATCTACTAATTCGTATGCATGTATACCAAGACTGAAATGGAGGAGCCTAATCGAGGTCTACCTTACCTGAGATCCCTTGCGCTGCTTTTCTTAGCATTCGTCGATGTTTCCATGAGGACAATGCTGTGAGTTCCTACTGCATAGTGGTAATAATGACTGCAACGATTCCACCGCTAGTTCCGCTCCGCTGAGAAGGAACCGGTACCTTCGAGATACCAGGCGGACCAAATATCGTCATGAGCAAGCTATCTCCCTTCCAGTCCACTCACATACTGACTCCTGATCTCAACCTGACGCTCTCGCAGCTCATACTAGATTTAGAATGGCCAATACCAGCTCTCGACCGGTAGAGTTTAGACCCCTGCGTATACTAACATGATCGTAATAGAGCTTCAGATAAGCCCCTAACGGGATAAAAAACCGATCCAGAAGAAGTAGACTACGAGGAGGAATCGGCAGCTGATGATAGCATCTGCCAAGAGCTTACGCTGCATACGACTGGGAAGAGGCCGTCATGTCATGTCCTCCCCGGACGGTGGTTGTTGATGTTTGAGGCCGGAGGAAATCTCTATCAATGGGATCGAATCGATTGCAGCGTTTATGAGATTATCACATCCACTGAGTTAGCTGAGATTATCTACATTAGAAAAGAAAAAGGGTGGGATAGGTGGTAGATCACCTGATCTGGGCTGGACAAGGTCCTTGTAAGTTGCACATAGTGATGCATCAGATTGAGTTGGTTTCACGGTGTCATGTAGATTGATTGATCTGTTTCAACCAACACCTTGCTACTCCTACTCTTTACAGAATACAAGTCCACAGTCAGTATCTGCACTTATCCACTTTCTTTTGACAATCTCTGTATGAAACTGAGAATTTCGAACCCCGAGGAAAACTACCCCAACGGCCCAGCCACCTTTTGTGACGTGGCGGTAGGGCTGGTGCGTCTCCTGCCACGAGGTTTTCGTGTCACATACTCCATCTGGGCATTTGAGTGCAGCCAATTTGCCGGTCCCACAGGTTGCGGTGGAAACTCCCTAAGGAACTAGTACAGGATTCTGCTGGTTACAGTTTTCTAGGGGAGTACGTAATCCTGTGCTGATCAATTTATAGAAACGCATCGTGGCGTAGCCGCGTGGTACTCGCGTCTGATTGGCTTGCTGATCCTGTCACCCGCTGCGCCTCCCAAACAATTTGCGATATCGTTGCCTGAGGCTGCTCTGATCGTCGCAAAGCAGACAATAAAACCATCCAAGCTTCCATCTCTCTTGGATTTTCATCATCATCATTTCAACTTTATTGTTCTTCCAGCCTTGTCTTTCTTTCACTGACGTCTCTGTACAAAGAATTGCAAGGACAGCAAGAAGAAGAAGCGCACAAAGAAGAAGCTATCCACTATCCAACACTCAACGACTTACACATCACCATTACCCAATATGGGCAAAGGCGGTCGCATTGCGTGCATATGCACACCATATGCACTTACCATCGCCTCGTTAGTATGCATAATTATGGTCGGCTTGGGCTGTACAAAGTCCAGTTCAGCCACACTCAACAACCTCTACTTCTTCAGAGTACGTTCATCCGGCAGAAGAGCCCAAATCCATGGAAAACTAACCTCGGACAGGCCAATCTCCAAAACTTGACCACCTCGTCGACAGTAGAATCAACAGTATCCTCCGCTCTCGAGTCCGCGGGCGTCGATGTCTCGAGTAGCGACCTGGCCACCGCCCTCAACGAGGCGCAAAAGCAACTCAATATCAAGGATTTCTACGATATCGGTCTCTGGGGCTACTGCGACGGAGATGTCAGCAACGGCAACTACAAGACCAGCAACTGCTCCAAACCCAAGGCTGAGTTCTACTTCGACCCCATCACAGTCTGGAAACTCAACGATACCGGTGTGGAGGATGTCCTGCCGAGCGATCTGTCCAAGGCTTTGAATGTCTACAAGAACGTGTCCAAGTGGATGTTCATCGCCTACATCGTTGCCTTTATCGCGACCGTCGTCGAGCTCGTCGTCGGTGTTTTTGCCATCTGCAGTCGCTGGGGTAGCTGCGTGACCAGCCTTGTCTCAGCTGTACGTTTTTCTTCCTTCATTTCTGTATATCCCCGTCTCTAACATCAAGATAAAGGTCTCCTTCCTCTTCATCACCGCCGCCTCCGTCACATCCACCGCCCTCTTCGCCGTCTTGAAAGGCACCTTCAACGAGGCCCTCAAGGACTACGGCATCAAGGGCTACATGGGAAAGAACATCTACATCGCCACCTGGCTGGCCGTCGCCTTTTCCCTCGCCGCGAGCCTCTTCTGGGTTATCTCCTCGTGCTGCTGCTCCGGCCGTTCCCCCTACCACGGCGCCGGAAAGACCCGCGGGGTCACCGCCGAAAAGGCACCCTATACCTATGAGCCTCTTGGTCCTCATGCCAACCAGACCCCTGCCGCGTATGGCAACACTTCGTACCCGCCGCCTCCGGCTCACGGTACCCAGGTTCCGATGCAGAATATGAGGACCAACGCCTACGAGCCGTTCCGCCATGTCTAACTTTGAAACATGGACATATTTCAAAACATCCGACAGAAAAGGCTACACCGACATCCTTGGCGTTTTTTATATTAGCGGAACGAACATCTACATGATTCATTTCTATGTTACAGTCGGAGAAGTGCGCTATGAGCATGGACATTGATGGAATCTGGAATTATCTGTATATTGCTTCGGGTGGGTTGATTTATTTGATTTGCTGGTTACTACAGAGCCTGCTTATGGTTTCAGGCTGGAGATAGATTGATGTCTACGACATAGATACCCTCCCTATATTTCAATTCATGGATTATGACTATCTCTTTCCATTCCGTGTAGATTGTTATCATCTTTCTATTTCTGCTGAACGCCACACTGGGATATCAATGGGTATATACTCTGCACCGAGACCGTTCCTCCTCGAACCTTGAGGACCAAAAAAAAAAAAAAAAAAAAAAAAAAAAAAAAAAAAAAAAAAAAAAAGAAAAAGAAAAAAAAAAAGAAAAAGAAAAAAAAAATAAAAAAAAAAAAAAAAAAAGGGGGGGGGGGGGGGGGGGGGGGGGAAGGGGCGGAACGAAAAAAAAAAAAAAAGGGGGAGAAGAGAGGGGGGGGGGGGGGGGGGGGCGGGCCCCCCCCCCAAATAAAGGAGAACACACGCGGGGCGGCGCACAACGCACTGTTCGCTCT